AAGAGTAAATCAAGCATACTCAGCCATAATAGGTGTTACGGGTTATGGCCCTTAATGACAGCCCTGAATTGTGTATTGTGTTTGGGGTAGGTGACTGCCTGGAAGTTTCAAGGTGTGAAAAAGATCTGGAATTGAACAAGACATCATGATTTGCAGACATGAAAGTTGTAACTTAAAAGACAGTATACAAAAAAATATTAAATATCTTTGATCACACTGACCATCTCGATCCTGCTTTATTGAGTCCATTTACAATAGTTGAAACACAGTCTTGGCAAGCCAAGTCAGGATGAGGTCTTTTGAAGTGTGAATCAAATGATGTTTAAAACTTTCATTCAGGTAGATTGATTGATAGTCCATGTTATAGTAAAGAGAAAGCAAGCAAAAAAAAAACAAAGTGGTTATAGAGAAAGCAAAACAAAAGAAGAAAAAAAAAGAAGAAAAAGAAAAAGAAATAAAAACAAAACAAAAAAGAAAAGCAAAAACAGCAACAGAACAACATAATTTATTGTACAACTGACAACAACAAAAAAAAGAGTGTAAATTTGGATATAAATTACAGGTGAATCCTACATAAATATGCTTTTCAGTTAAAAATGACATTTTTAGTTTTCTAAATTTTGAATTCATTCAATACATGCAGGTTCTTACTGAGGAAGCATTGTTGCTGGCTCTAGAGACATCTATGCTAAGTAACCACAGGTAACAAATTGAAACTTAGAAGTCATCTTCAGTATTAGCCATTAAATGTACAGTCATGTACCTTATTGTAAGTTTATTTCTTGTACTAAAATAGCCACAATTTGGCTGCAATTTAATGATAGAAGTGAGTCAAGGTTTTTGTGCTTCTTGCAATCATGCCCCTAAGAGTTCCCTCCCCCCCCTCCCCCAACCAAAGATTAAAATAACCAGTGAGAATGTTTCCCAAATTAAAAGGGCCAGTCACATTGTAGTGCACTGCACAAAATGCTGGCATGACATATTAGGGTTCTTGAAGATCTGCAGCAAATAACTTTTTCAAGTCTTATTTGATTCTTTACACTTTTGGGTTAGGATTTGGGGTTAGGGTTAGTCTCAGTAGAATTATAATTATCTTCTTTTGGAACCACACAGCCATCTTGCACCCTTCGAACATTTTTGTTGCACCCTATCTACTCTTCACACAGCCATTATGTGGGCCATCACTTGATGGTTCACAATTCTTTGTAAATTGCAGTGTACTGTGATTACCTTACCACAAGCTAATTGCACTAAACATTTTGTTCCTTGCAGAGGATTTCACGTGGGTTTCAACAGCCTTTGTGCGCATGCCTCAGTGAACCATTTACATTTTCATGTTTGGTACAGTGAGTACCCATCCTATCTTGAAACAGCAGTAAGTTAATATTGAACCAACGCTTACAATGTAGTCGAGTTGGATGAGAGTAAATGAAGTAATAAAAAGGAGTACTGCATCGTTTACCTATAACGCTTTGGCTCCTGTTGTCCTCTCCTATATGAATTTGCAGGGAAGACCTCTACCCAAATGATGTCCTACAAAACATTAGCGCTAAGCTCACACTAGTTCTCGTAAGAGAAGACAACGAGACCAAAGAAACAATCACTTCAAGCAAGCTATTGTTAAGTTTCTTTTTATTCCTTTATTTACTCCCATCCAACTCCACAATATTGTATGCATACTGTGAAGTACAGGTACAATCAAACCTCCTGTAATGCTGACCTCTCCTAAGCATGTCACTAGGTTTTGGTCCCAGCCTCGTCCAAGAACTGGTTGGAAACAGACACTTCCCATGTGGACTAGTCTGTCCACCGACGTTTAATTTTTTTCAGTGCTACAAGCTATTTTTCCCCAACCCCACCCCCTTGGGTTTTAGCGCGTGTATCCCACGCGCTGGGTTAATATTTCGCGAAGATTGAGATCTCGACAAACTCAAGACAAAATAGAGCGTCTGTGGACGGACTTAAGTCTCAAGGATGTTCACTTGGGAAGTTTGATTATTACAAACGTATGATAACCATTACTCGTAACAACAAACTGCAGACAACTGCCTATCTCTAGGGTTGGTTGTATTCTTCAATCATAATTGTGTCTCTCTTTGATGAACAGGAGGTCGATGTTGTATGTGAGAACGTTTTTGAAGTCAAGAATTACCCAACAACAGCGTTTGTCTTCGAGCTGGCGCCAGAAACTAACGTTGGTTCTCTTGCGAGGTTGGTAATTGGAATTAGTGAAACTTTTTAAGAGTAAAAAAAGAAAAAAAAATTAAAAACATCTTTAATGTACAAATTTTCCAAATGGTACAGGGAGTGATCGAAGCACTGATTAAACAGCAGTTCCTATTTCTATGAACAAACGTATAATAAGAACTTTGCATTAATTACATCAATCTATCTTCCTCGTTTTAACATGAAACGTTACAGCCTTGTATCGAATTTACTGGCGTAGAGCAATCGAGTAGATTTCCTTCTTTTTCTTGAGATTGGATTGTTGCGAGAGCAAAGTTTTAGCATCTCCATGGCCAATCACAACAAAGGTAAATTCTGNCTGAACGATTAAACGTCGTTATGAATGCTGAAAAACACAGCAGTTTAATCAACAAAGGGCACCGCAACAACGCACGCAAAATGACGCGTACTGTCCAATTACAAGCATGCCGCGTACACTGTCCAATTAATGCTCAAATCGGGCTGCTGATAGCCAATCACGTTCGAGAATTTCGTTATAGTTTTGATTAGTAGAGTTAGGAGTTACCCATTGGCTCCGATGTTGACTGTGCTTTCTGTTACCCTGTATTTCGCCTGCAGAACAATACACAAAGTCGCATCATATTTAATCGAGGAAGAGGTGGCCCATAACTTCCATATCATTCGAGGAGCAAGATGTCGTCCAACAAGTCAGATGAATGGGTTTACACATGAAGACAGCGATCTGCAATCAGTGCTCAGGGTATTCCTATGGCCAAGGAACCCTGTTCATGGTAAGGAGAGCCTTGACGGTAATAGTGAACAATGGCTCCTATTTTCTGCCGACTGTCGGCCGACATGTTATGGACACATAACCGACAGTTTCGTTTTTTTTCCCTGTAGTCCATAGTTCTCTTCTTTGTAAATTCCTTTTAGATATTCTTTTAGCTAGCTTTTTTGATTTTTTAAACTCGACCACATCATCGTTGCTGTTATATTTTTATCGTGCACTACTTTTACCTTTTGGTCGACCTACAGTACATGTATAAATGGTAATTTATTATTATTATTATTTTTTTTAGTATTAAGTAAGCCAAAAATTGACCCAAAACACGTATAGTTGAGAACAGTAAATATAGACATCTGTCGATCGTACCGTTCTTTAGCTCATAAGATATAAATAGTTTGCGCGTTTATGCTAAAGATAGATGGCCTTTGGTGAAGATTCGACCGTAAGCCAATGTACTTCTCAAATTTTGACCAACAGCTGACACGGTAGTGGTTCGGAGAACACGAACTCCCTAACGCTAGTGTTAAGTATTAACTTCTTTCTTTTAAATTGTTCTTGAACAGGTGCGAAGCAAATGAGCTCTTACGAGTCCGAGAGGCGTCCCGTTGCTGTCTACGAGTTTGCGGGCTCCTTGGCGATAGAAAGTAAGAAGTGATATTCTAGTATTTACCCTCTTACCTTTTACTCTGTCTCTGCAACTGGCCAATTCTCTCTATGAAACGTCCCTCAAGGGAATCATGGTAGTTGTATTCATCAAAACACATCCCCAGTCCAAGATGATGAATACCACTACCATGATTCCCTGCAGGCATGTCTCATAGATGGAATTGGTCATTGGCTGAAGGCGAGGTTTTCAACTAGGATGTTACTTAGCAAACTTTCCTATTCTGATGACGTCATGTTGACGTGACAACTTACGGGATGGTCGTGTTGTATTTGATTGGACGAAAGACCGGACTAGTAACCCGTTCGGTAATTTCAGAAACATTTTCATTATTTTATACTGAATCATGGTGTTTCCAATATGTAGTAATTTCTAGTTTCTCGTCTTTTGATAACAGATTTTTGTTAGCACTTGAAACACCATAAGCACTGATTGTTTTCTGTTGTTTCCAAAAATAAAGATATTCCATGTTGCTATCCTATATCCTATATGGGCTACAGGGAGGCTTTTTAATACTCACTGAAAGAAGGCTTTTCTTAGCTCTTCATCCAAACTTGAGAAATAACAGGACGCAATGTTTGAAGACTTTTTTCTTCTTATTTATTTTAAAATTTGTCTTTCAGGGAGAGAAACCTTCGATTCATTTACTGAAGATCAATTCTGTGAACATATGAGGAGTGCCACGTTACCAGAAAACGAGTTCAGCCGACACAGACAGGCGATACGAGATTTATTCAACAAATAGTCTACTTAGCTAGTCAATTTCTCTTAACTTTATATGTCTCTTATTCACAGCGGATGTCCCGACTGAACAAATTCTGTAAAAAGTAGTATATTTAGATAAATTATTCGTAAACATACATTGTTTTGTTTTTATCGAGGCTCCTATAACATATAAAGTGAATACGGAGGTTGTTTGTAAATAAAGGGCTTAAATTGTTGGATATAAATTTGGCTTAATGTGATCGTTAGATCAAATGAATCAGTTTTTGAGAGTTCATCTGTCAATCTGATAATAGAAATTTGCTTTTGTAAAATTAATATTTGTCAACTAAAAATAAGGAATGACTTCGTACTTTTAATGTATTACTATTTAATGAATAGAGCCGTTGCTTCAGTTGTGAAGGTGTACGAGCCTCAGTTTTTCAGGGGTTTTAAGTAACACAGTGTTCAACTTGTCTAAAATCGCCGGATTTTGCTTGAAAACGTTGAAATTCTTGCCCTAAGCAGAGCCAAAAACAACACTTAAAACTGCTCAGTCCCTTGAAGTCACTGAAAGAGTCGCCATAGGTATCCACCGTGTCCACCGCTTTGTACGCATGAGTACCTTTCTCTTGTTACCCTTGTCTCTCGATATAATTCATCTTGCGTCTGGGCGCTCTTCTGGTGCCAGCAAGACTGTCATCTGAGTAGTTATGACCTAAATATTTAGCTTCGTCTTTCCCAGTGGCAGAGCCGTGATCTGTCATTGTATATTAAAGACTTAAGGAGGGATTGCCATACGGTTCACATCTAGGTCTCCATAGAGACCTTACCAATTACTGACTAACGAAGCTGACGTTCACTTCAAATGAAAGTGTCGAGTTAGAAATATCAAATTCTTTAATTTAGGTAGTTTGTAATTAATATATTCCTTGCGATCGAAATGGCATTTAGGTTTTGTAGTTTGTTAGTAATTGCACAGTCTTCTGCGAAAGAAAATTTTACCACAATTGCTTCTAATCTCTCAATCTGATTGGCTAATTTGCCGTTGTCGAAAAGAGTCCAGACAACGCTTCACGCGTCAATATGTCACGCAATGCCTTTTTCAGCCCGCGCTCTGAAAAAAGAAAAAACGTTTTCTTTGACGTTAATATTGTGGTAAAAAACAAATCGAAATGTGGTTTAGCGTGGTCTGTACTCTTATAGACAACGATACGAGTCATCACAGTGGTCAAAATGTTGTGACTCACGAGCTATCAAGCCAACTGGGAGCTGGTTACGTTGTAAGCTCGCAATATACCTGTAGATGATGAGCTCACAACGTGACCAGCTCCCAGTTCCCGTTCAGGCCTGAATTTTTTTTCAGGCTTTAATTTCACAACCACTTAAGTGTGATGATCAATCATGTCTTCATATCTCTCTCCGCAGTTGAAATATATGATCTTTTATATATTCACTTGCATAGCTGGTAACGTAGCAGTGTGTCCTTTTAAACAAAATGACGGCCGCTTCTTTGCGTTTTCGAAGTGTCTGTGAAGAGGATTTAGGTAAAGTTTCGAACGACTAGTAGATTTATACTAAAACAATTAGATTATTCGCTCTCGATTTCTGTTGCGTGATAGTTGACCTCGTCAACTATCGTGCTATAGAAATCGAGAGCGAATAATCTGACTGCATGTTAAATAGAAACACGATTTTTAACCAATCAGCGCACGTATTTTCTTAGGACTGTTTTCTAAATATGCATACCGATGGAGTCTGGGACCTAAGATGGCAGACGGCGAAACCCAACTAATATATTTTAATAGTAAAAATTGTATTTATAAGCTTACCGTTTATACGTGAATGGAAAATACGCTTTAGGAGTAACTTGTAGTTGTACACAAAGGTGAGTGTTCGTTTGAGTTTATTTCGCAAAGCTAGTTTAAGCCATTTTAAGGTTAGCGTGCATCACACACTGGAAGCCTGCTAGAAGTTCGAAGCCGGTCAAAATGATGACGTGGGTTTATTTAGGAGGGTGCCCAATTTACGCCAGTTCTTGTCAGATCAGATACAGGTTTAGAGAAGAACAAGAAGAAAGCGCCACCGGATAGACCTTCCCCCAATTAGCAACAAAGCAATCATGATAAGGGTACATTCGATTGCATAACTGCATGAAGTCTATTTTGTGAAGTTTATATGAAATAATTCATNTGCTGTACCAACTGAGCTATGAAGCCACACATTGGGAGCGAGGCCACTATTTTGTTTGCCAAGTTATCTAAGATCCACTATTTTGTTTGCCAAGTTAGCTAAGATCCATCTTGTTAAAATGGTTGATAAAAATGTTTGATCCTCATTCTGTATTCTTCTCAAATCCACTAAACCCGGTTCCTTTGGACTCATACTTCATACAATTTGAAACCATCCAAAAACATCTCAAAATCCCTCTGGGACCAGTTGCAGCTCCATGTAGTATTAAAGGCTAAGCTGGACGGCAACAAATGAAGGCACAGATGACCAAAGCATACTGTGTGAGTTTTTATACCATGCCACAAGACACAGCCAATCAGAATACAACATCATGCGCAGGCAGGTATGTTTTGCAGGTTGCAAATTGAAAAATCGACTTTTAAGTCTGAGTGAGTCTAGTTAGCACTTTGGTTAGCCTGAATAACATTCTGGTTAGCCTAAATTAGCTTAGGTTGCTTGCGGTTAGCCTTTATACTGGGGCTTATTCGATTTCAACACAAATAGACAAGTCATTTCAACCTGCAACCTGCAAAATATACCCGCCAATCATGTACTGCATGTATGTCGCATCGATTGTCTTGGCCCCTGTATTTGCTAAGGCGTGGTATAATTATGCAATGCTCTAGATCATGATATTTCACTCAAAAGCATTGCACTTCTGCAATACAGGAAGTAGATGACTGAATGTTACAAATTCATCAAATGGCTTGCTGAAGCGCTAGAATGACAGAAAAAGACAAACTATACTGAAGGTTAAGGGGAAAATGTTGATCAAATTTCAAATCCATACTAACTCAATATGGTTACGTGTTGCTGCAAAATGCAAATAAGGAGATAGACAACTGAATAAAATCATTAATTAAAATTAATATTAGTTTTTGTCAATTATTTTGTAGAATAGTACTTTCAAGCAACTTGTGAGTCCAGACCTACACAGCACAACTACACTACACTGTGGTCTGATAAACTATTTTCATGCAAATGCCAGCCACTCGGTATCTGTCATCAGAACGACAGTTCAGCTATACGTCAGAAGACTTTTGGTGGCCTAGTATTCAAAATTCTGATGGACCAAACAAGGATGAACTAAGCAAGGTGTCTACGAAATCAAGTCATGTTACTTTACTAATTTTCTCTAGAAAATGTGACCATCTACATGTACCATCATCATTAATAAATATTAATTAATTGTTCCCTAAGGTTTTTCATGCAAACTTCTCATTAATTGTAGTGGTTCCTCTGTTCCCTCAAAACATAATGTAACAGTAACAATCTCTTGTTCCCTTGAAATAAATGGTTAATGATGTTCCCTTGTGCTAAAAAATCCCAGGGGGGCCCTCAGCCATGTTGAAGGGTTGTTCTTAACATCTAAGGGTAGCCTGTCTTTGCAAACTCAAATTTGCGTAGAAGTTTTTATAGAGCTTTACTGCTATATATACTACTCCCAAGTTTCCTTTCACGCCTATCACAATTTGTCAAGAGGAAGAATGTTGCACAAGTTTGCACCCTGGTTCAATCTCAGTGAATATTCTATTATTTGTTTAATTAAGTAACTAATGTGGGAATAAAAGGTAAAAAAAAAAGGATGGTGTGACTGGCTTGCTTTTCATATTTTCCTCTGAGTCAGTAGTAATTAGTTATAAGTTGATTCTTGTTTTTTTTTAGTTTGATAACGAACTCAAAGAAACATGGGATGCTGCCGCAGATGCAGGTTATTTCACTTATAGACTTGACAGTGTAGAAGGAAGGATTGCACCTGGAAAATACTCTCTGTATATTCAGGTAATCCCACAATTAAATAATTACAATTATAATATATTTCATTATTCAGTGATTTAATGGACAGTTCATGTACTGTCAGTATTAATTTGATATTCTTGTGCATGTTGTGATCTAGATTAGTGAACAGCAGATGTGATTATTAAAAGTATAACTTTAAAAAATGGAATATGCAATTCAGTTTTATTAATAATATTTTTTTTGAAATATTTTTAACAAGCATTAAATATGGTTTGCAGGATTCAGACAAAGTTTCAATTTATCCTGAAATAGTTGTCTACCCTTTAATTAGTTTTTGGACATAATAGTTCATGCAGCAGTGTTGGCTTGATTGCCATTTGCTGTCGGGAAAATGCAGTGTCCGCGCTCCTTATTCACCCCTCCCTCTTCACCCCCGAACTCAGTTGCTCTATTCTCTGGAAGAGGACCAAGTCGAGAAGCGAACCCAAGAGAGCAGCACAAATCAAGCCTGTGTAGTCACAATCTGTGATAGTTAGCTATAATGTGATGTTTACATGTTCCGACATTAATTGTACCTGCCTGTTGAATCTGTCTACAGTTAAATGAGCTGCGATTCACCAAACGGAGAAAGCCAGATCCAATGAATAGGGTATCAGAACCGTTCAACCCAGCAAAATTTAATTTCACTAAAGTACACAGCAAAGAGGTAACTAAACTGTACTCCCAGTGTTGTTGCCTCAAAACCCAGTTTAGCTACTTTGTAATTTGGTTAGAATTAGAGTCTTTCAGTGGGAATTCCATTTAACACCTAAGTCTTGATGACATGTCAAAAGTGCCCTAGCAGATTATTTTGGTGTCACATTCTGATGGATGTCTTCTGCTCGCTAGGTTTTCGCCAGGCTAAGCTAGCAGCCTTAAACCCAGTGGGGGCTCCGTTAAGGCGAGACCAGGCATATGGCCCAGGCACTGACCTATCTGCTGGTGGTTTGCTGGTGGCTAGCTGTTAAAAGCAGAGGGGATCGGAGGGTGTTTTATACTGACACCCGCAGCTAGCTAGACTTTGAGTTTTCAGTGTTAAATAACCTTGATATTGACTGTGTTTCTGGGTATTTTACTCAGTTGTTTAACCTTGTTTGAGGCTTCCGTATTGACATGGCACCCTGTGGGAGTGGTGCATGCCACATGCATGCGTGAGGGGCCAATCCCCTAGCCAGGGGGGGGGGGTGGTCAGAGGACTTCTGGCCGGTGGGACTGTCTTTGAGTCAATGCGGGCATGTTTTTGCGAATTCAGTCAGATATATAATGTAATTAACTGGCAACCTGGTATTTTTAACTATTTCAGGTTATTTCGGGTTGTCAGTTACCCTTATTTTAATTTAATTATTATATTACTAAATTTAATTTATACAAAAAACAAAGGATAAATAAAGCTGTTGTTGTTGTTAAATCACAATGTATCATATCCAAACAAGTCACTAATTGGAATTATGGTTGGCACATTATAGATTTCAGACTATGCCAGACAGGCAGACTAATATATTTTCTGTGAGCTAGTGATTAGTTCCGAAAGAAATCGAGAGTTAGAAGAGAAGTTGTCAAAAAACATTTGAGGTGGTGAGACTTGTGAAATTTGGCTAACATTTTGGGAGGGCCATATTTTTGGAAGCTTGACCATTTGCCACCTCTCACAATATGAAATTGAAAATTTCTGAATAGGAAGTAGTATGTAAAGGAGAACAGGAGCAGGAGAAAAAGACAAAATTTTCATTAGTATTAATTACTGATGTAGTAATGAACATTGTGCCTTAATTCCTTAATTATTAATTAACTTTTATCATTCAAGGTTCTATTTGAACTCAGTCCAAAGCACAGGACTGAGGCAGACACTGATCACCATCTCATGATAATAAATGTCAGTCCTCTGGAATATGGACACTCGCTTTTGGTTCCAAGTATAAATTCATGTCTTCCTCAGGTAAGATTCATCTACTAGTTGTTTTTTGGTAACTAATTCCTGTTTATTTGGAAACATGTGTAGAAATTTATGTCTCAAGATTGAACTGAAAAATTATGTGCCAAAATAGAGCCAGTGACAAGCATGTAGCAACTAAGTTAACCATTTGAACTGGAACGCCTTAAAAAATTATTAGTCTGTATTCAAGCCTACATCTCCACCTTCCATAGCATGAAATGACTAGGCATATTTCTACTCCCCCCTGGATAGGTCATGCTACTCCATCACAGGGTTACCCTTGGCTTTAAATTAACTGTTACCCACAACAGGGGTGAAGAGAGGTACTGTGAGAGTAATATGTCTTGCCCAAGAACACAACACAATGACCCAGCCTGGCTTGGTCTCGAACCTAGACTGCTCATTCCGAAGTCAAATGCATTGACCACTGGGCCACTATGCCTCCCATGGAACTCCTTAATAAGCAGAATTCAAACACAATTTTTTATCTGTTCTCCAAAAGATACTATGAGCATCCCTGTTGCTTGTCAAGTGTGATAGTGTCCGAGTGAGTGGGCTCTAAAGGTAACTTCTGATCAGGCTGACATTCAAGAAACATCAGTCACCAACAGCAATTCTCTTCAGAACTACACGTACCCTTACATGTAATCAGACAATCACACTATATGAACCATTGACACTATGCGCATTCCTATCTTTGGTCTTTGATAATTTTTTTCTTTTTATACGCTTTTGACTCTTCAGTTTATGGCTGTTGAAAGCACAGCAAAATTAGATATGATTGTTGTCTAGGAACTGTGTGAGTGCATTAGTTAATAAAAATCCTAACCTAACCAAACCTTGCACGACTGTAAGATTAATTTAATTCACAATTAACCTTCAGATACTAACCGAGGAAGCACTGTTACTGAGCCTGGAGACAGCTATGTTAACTAACCACAGGTAACATTTGATGATCCATGACAAATCAATACCGTGACATGATGAAATTTAAAGTAATGGCACTTGCAGAGTTATGCATCTGAATTCTAAAACTTCAAAACAAATAATGATAGCTTCACAGTTAACAATTATTGTCAATAACTGTAACATTTTACAAGGGGCAAACATCGTTGTCATGCATACAAGTCATGTAGTTTTGCCATTTACAAGTAGCATATGCCGTCGGTATTGAACGTGTTGTAGTTAATTCTTAATCTCAGTTTATTTTTTATTTCAGCTATAAGTAGTTCTTTTTCTTCAAGTTAGTTACTTTTTGTCAATTTATCCCTAATCAATAAGTATTTATAACATTATTGACAACAATGGGATTCTGTTGTTATTCGTTGCAGGGGATTCCGTCTGGGTTTCAACAGCCTGTGTGCTTATTCCTCGGTGAATCATTTACATTTTCACACTTGGTATAGTGAGAACCCATCCTACCTTGAAGCAGTGGTGAGTTTTCTTTTTCCAGCCGGGAGATATCTCATGATTTCAATGTTCACGTTTTCCCCTTGGAGGGGAGCTCCCGTGTAAAAGAGTCGGGGATGCTCGCCGGGAAACCCTAAGGGGGACCAGTTTGGGCGTGGCTCGAACCTTATTTGGCCCCGAAAAGATACCACTTAAGACGGACATGACAGCGTTTTTCTATTGTCTTCACGTGTGACCCTAAAAGTTACCTTGACAGCTAAAGATAGTGGCATGTCGTTGTGAACACCCCAACTGAGACCGACATCCATACTTTACACCCACTAAGCGAGGCAGCGAGCATTCCCGACCTTTTAACATGGGACTCCTTCCGCCCCCCTGGGCATAATATACACACAAAGGGCTCTGTAGCCCTTTGCATGGATTACGGGCCTACAGTACCTGAGGCAGCGATTTATTACTGTGATGGCAGAAACTCATATGTTATACTCTCTTCAAAAGGACGTAATTCCTGTTTGCGAGGACGTATTTGAAGTTAGAGACTATGCCACAACTATGTTTGTCTTTGAACTGGGACCACAAACCAATGCTTGTTTACTAGCGAGGTGAGGAAACTACGTGTGAGCATGGTCACCTATTGTGTACAATTGTACGTGTAGTAAAAACGTACAATGAACTTGGTTAATGGATTTTGGTATTATATGGAGATGCGAAAAGAAGAAACAATCGACAGACGCTGGGAACACGTGTACATAACAGAAAACTCCTTACGAAAGGATAGCGGAAAAATATACGTTGTAACATCACGTTTCGGCATCATCTTGTCGCTATTAGGGAGCTTAAGCAACGACGACGACGACACAGAGGACGACGCCTGGTAAAAAATGAATATATATTTTACAAGCGAAATTGGCGATTGTCTAGATCTGTTCGGTACGCCAATGGTTCTAAAAACGTCCTTAAGCTAAATATGCAACGACGGCGTTCAATTCCAAATGGAAATGCGAAAAATTAGCCGTCGTCGTCCACGTTCCGTAGACGACGCAGAACTTGGTCATTTCACGTTGTTGTTTTGTAGAGGACGGCAAAGAAATGTACAACGATTTATAACGCACGTGCACAGCTATTGTTTTGCTCATTAAACTTTTGTTTGGTGACGGTCTCGTTGCCGTCGTCGTCGTGGTTTGCTTAAGCTCCCTATTATCAAATGCATTGCCCGAGTAGAGACCGCTTGTGTGTTTAGGTTTGGTCTTTTTTCTTTGTTTAGCAACATCTCTTGAATTAAGCATCCCAGCTTCCCTCTGCACTTGTTTAAGATGCTGAATTGTTCGTTCATATTTGGTTGGTCTTGGTTATGACTTTTTCGAAGGTGTTTTCCGACAGCTTTTAAAATGTTTTTCCATATCTTCTGTAATTGAAAGGATAAGAGTGGGTTCTAATGATATGTACGTGCAGACAGTATTGGAAAGCGTGAGGCTCTCTTTTAATGTATATTTAGCTTTCAGTCCTTTAAGAAATTCTTCCCACTAATGGCTGAACGCCTCCCAGAGAGTAGGATGTCGTGCCCTGGCCTTTATCGGAGCATAAAGACAAAAAAAGAGGTTCTTCCTTTAAAATTCTGAAGGATTATTCCTGAGCGGTAGGATCTGCGACTGCAGGGCTACTTAAAGATGGACCTCTCTCCTTTTTCTTTACATTTATGTTTGTCATAACGTCCTGTTTTTTTCTTCTTTCACAGGAAAATTCATCAAGTGTCGTCATATTTTGTATCAAACGAGGTAGCTCACACTTATCTCATTCTACGGGGAAACAAATGTAGCGCGACGAGTCAAAATGGCGACGCTGTTAACCAGGAGAGTGACCATTCCGTTATTAGAGTCTTTCTCTGGCCAAGAAATCCTGTGTGTGGTAAGTTCTATGTCTCAAGATGTTCTTATCATGTGCACCAAACCAGTGAAATCTCTTAGAGATATTCTGGATCAAATTTCAGCATTCCCTGAATTTTGCGTAAGGAACCAACAGCCATCTTTTCCATTGAATTGTCGACGACGATGAACAAGAATAAGGATTAAAGCGATACGATTACGATAACGTCGACTAAGACGAAAATGACGACGACTAAGACCTCACGATGACCATAATTACGAGGATTATGAACAAGGCCGAAGACTTTGTCGACGGACGACCGACGACGGATTACGGACGACAACGACGATGACAATAATGCGAAGGCAACTACAGTGACGACGAAGATGTGGCATAGCCAACACATTTTAGAATGGAGAACAGAGAAAAATGCAAGAGCTAGTCATTTCCTCTTTCTAATAGAGGGTATTCCATGTTGTCGTTTATCGGGATTTCAACTATTTCATAAAGAATCAGTCATAGACAGACTTAAGAAACTCGTGCTTTTTTCGACAATTCTGTCTTTCTGTTCTAACAGGTTCTCAAGTTAAGAGTTCTTATGAATCTGATGAGCGGCCCATGGCTGTTTGTGAGTTATCCGGCTTCGTCGCTGTGGAAAGTAAGATACCTGTATAGTATTCTTGTATATCCTGGAGAACTTTTATATTTTTTTTCTCTCTTGTGGGGTGGTTAGAAGGTTGAAAAGGGGATCATCTTTTCGCCCGTCTTTACTCCAATTTCAACTCTATGTCATATGTAACATCTTCGAAAGTGACAGTCGTTTTCTGGCTTTGTTCAACCTTTTGTTCTTGCTTTTCCTTCCAGCGAGAGAAACTTTCAATTCATTTACCGAAGAACAATTCTGCGAACATATGAGAAGAGCTACGTTATCAGAGGAAGAGTTCACCAGACACAGACAGGCCATACAAGAATTACTGAACAAGTAGAAATGTCCCGTACATCAAGTTTAATATTTCACTACCATTTTGAAGCAGACCTCAAAAATAAAACCAAAAAAAGAAAACAAAAAAATAACAGGCAAACAAACAAAAAGCAAAAATTACAAGAGAAAAAAAAAGAAAGAAATTGTGAAACACATAAGGAGGGGAAACTTCAATGCAATAACAAGTCCCTTGGCTCGGAAGATAAGTCATGGGTTAACAATTACATCTAGCTCTTGAATTTTTAACTGTTATATATCCCTCTTAACTGTAGAGCTAGCTTGGATTGTATTTTAGATTCTTAGAGCTGATTTTTATTTGATGACCATAGAATGTTTAGGGCGTTCATTTGATAACCAGTTAACAGACAGTAGTCTTATATGCAATGCAAAAAACAATTGACCGCAAAATCTCAACCATTTCTGAAATTTCTTACGATAAGAAACCTTGCCGATTACAAGCCCCATCGAAAAAAACCTAATAATTTTTTTAAAAAAAAATTTTCCAAGGGTCCATCATTTATAGAATAACCATATTAATGATAGTCTTAAAATGACGTTAATGCAATAAAAGGCAATTGCGGCTAATTGCAATTTTCTTACTAAGGTTTCAGAGCGTATTTATTAGCGCTTCGATAATGCTTACGGAAAAGGGGAACTTTTCGCGAAACTTGTAGATAAGGGGTTGATCCGGCCTTTTCCGAGTGAGACGGGATGGAAAAGGAGGAGGGGTCCCCTGATATGCGCGGGGGGTTTCCTTGAAGGGCGTAGCAAAAAGTTTCCGTGTTTTCATGCATGGTTGGACAACGTGATCGAGCGAGGCCGTTAGATGAAAAACTGAAGGACCTAAGATATTTCCAGTGAAAGTTTACTCAACTCGATTATGTACAATAGGCACGGTTCGATCTAATATTCACTTGCGGTAGTTACATAACATAACATGCAATTGAAGATGTTCCGCGGACAGCTCTGTGGAGCCGGGCGATGATTTGGAAATCATCGTCAGGGGTAAAAGAAAACGTAGAATTATGCCTTTGTGATGTCGGCACTAATTCTGAACCGGCAAGGCGAATAAGGTGAAAAGTTTTGTTTTAGTTAAGAACGTTACATTTAGCATCACATGAACTCGATCACGCGACGCAAAGCAATTAGCAGAAATCGGGGATTACCCTTATGAATATTAATCATACTAGGCAGACATCGAGCTTCGGCCGCCACCATGATCATGCTTATTGCTGAAGATGGTACGTTTTCAGCGTTTTCAACGGACTCCCGATTCTTCCTACTTCATAGTTGATAGTACAACGTTTTTCACACAGGCTTGCTGGTCTTGAACTGAAGTTTTGTCAGTTTTGATTTTCTTTTTGGTTACAGCGGCTCGCTTCCTCCAGGTTAGTTTATGTCTGTAGTTTTATCCATCGACGTTTAACTTCGTTAAAATCTTGTTACGGCAGTCAGTTTTGTCTTAAACACATGTGAATGAGTGAAAATATGGTTCCCTTCTCCCCTTGGGTGATCCAGAGTTTCAATGTTGTGCTTTCGGTTTATCAAATATTTTCACGAGCCGAACAACTCTGTGAAACGGTGCATGGTGGGGTAATGTGCCTCATGTACTGTTCAATGGACTACTCCTGTGGCCGGATTGATTCTCACTTGAAGCATAAGCGTAATATAAGCTTATATATTTCTCGTCCGCTGTGTTGTTCCGTCCTTACTTGTGTAAAACGCAAACGACAGAATCGTAACAGATATTATTTTCGAAACGCATCGCGACCAGTCGCAACAGTCGCGTACATGCAGCTGGCACAGAGTCGCATACGTGCAGCTGGCATAAATTTTTCGATTAAATGTCAAATTTACAACCTAGGAAGGTAATCGCTTTTAATTTCTCGGGCAAATTATTTCCTTCTGTGCCTATGTGTAGCCGTGCACGTTATGCTAGATGACAGAGATGATTTAAGGGAGCTGGACTGGTCGACCCGGTGGACATGAATATTTAATTGATTTTGTTCGTCTGGCGTCAATAGCCCCTCAGTGGCCACATCAACACCGTCAACTGTAGTTTGCTTGGGTTAGTCTCTAGTATGCAGTGGACTTTGCGGTCCCAGCAATTCCGCTAACTACAGTTGGTTCTGATCAGACCTGATTAGCCTGTGGATGACGTCAGACTTTGACTGAGTAGTAGTTCGTGACAGCCGTTAGACTGATGTAAACATGGCTGAGTGTAGAATGCTATGTCTGGTTCAAATCTTCATGCTGTAAGCCGTCATCGAAAATTAAGAAGTATGGTCAAACTTGCGAAAACTGCACGAGATGTTTTCGTATGATGCAAATTTTTTTCTGCTTTGCATTGTTTAAATTACTCTTTCCCCCGTGATTTTTTCAAGCTTAGTTTTTCATTTTACATAATTATGTTGATCTCGCATGTGCTACACTGCATTCTGATTGACGTCTCGTTTATAAATTAAGGTCTAACCCGTTCATCCAGCTTGGGTGTTGGTAAGTTAGTTTGTATCGTTTTGGATCATGGATCGGAAGCATGAATTGCCTAGCTATAATATAGTGAGAGTGGAATAGAGAAGTGATCACACTATGGGAATAGCCAACTGAAGTTATCTCTGTCCTGACTTTACCTCTACTGAAACCTAGTAATCTACGTCAAGCAACAGACCGAAATAATTTGGCTCACCCGATTTTTTGCTTTGTTCGTGACGGGTACTCTAAGTAAAAGAGTATTGATACAAGATGGTGAGTTCGATTCTCGTATCCCGTGAATTACCCGGTTCAACATACCATATCCCGAAAACCCCTAATCGGGCCGCAATCGATCCCACTGTTTCAGGAATTCAATGTTTTACCTGCAGCTTGAGATTTTGCGGCAAAATTTTGCAAGTTCGTCGTTAATCCCAATTTCAGTTGTTTCTTTGTCAGTTATGATTTATCACTGTACACGTCCGGCGATGATTTCACGCCAGCCTGTACGAATAAAATCGATCATTTGATTAATTAAAGGAGGGTTTCACGGTTCGGCACATGTCTATTATTTATTCGCCTGTGCACGCTTTTTGGCACAGCCCCAGTTTTCATTGTTTATGAATCAATCGTAAGCAAGTTCCTAATTTCGCATGCAAATAGCCGTAAAATCATCAATCGTAGGATAAATCGTACGGGTCAACACTAAATTCAACTGTCGACAGCGTCGGTAACATCCACTGAAATGTTAATTCTAAGAATTTTGGTCATCCGTCATTCTACCACGACTAACTAGCATTTGATTACTAAATTACATCTGAGTGAAGTTTTTAAAGCGATAACGCTGTTAAGAAGCGCACAAAAGTATTTTGATTTAGAGACATCCGCCGAACCATGAAACCCTCCCTTTAAGCGCTAGCTAGCGCTATGTTTAATATCACAAGTTTTACTCAATATTTTGTAATTCGTTAAAAATTGTCTATAGGTACTTCAAACTGACACTGACAAAGCTCTGTAGATTTCCAAACAACAGCATCAATGGCAAGTGGTCCAATCAAGGCTGCGAGTGAAAGTGACGTCACACCACCTGATGGTGAACCAACGCTGGATTTTGATGAAGACACTTTAAGAGGTAGAGGAAAACGGTAGCCTGGCTGACTGACCAGGGTGGGATGTACGAAATGAATTAAATAAATGAAATGAAATGAAATACTGTACTGTTTTGCCGTTTGCCCGTTACTGGCGCATCAAATTGCTTCATAAACAATGACCTCGGCATGTTTCTTTTTGTCAAATTATCATATAATGGAGTAATGAAACTGCATAATTGTTAACCTCTTGTAACGCTTGTTGCAGCTCGTTCCCATTCTAACATTTTAAAAAATCCTGGTAGGTTATATCATCCTTCATGTAGTTTGTCATTGGTGTCAATGTATTTAATGAATTATACATTACTTTTTCGTTCGTCTAGCAATCGCACGGGTGTACCTAAATGAAGGTAATGATGAACACAGAGGGAAAGATTTTAGCAGAGCCATTTACTTCTACACGGAAGGAATTAATGTGAATTGTAAAGATGAAACTCTCAAAGCCAAACTCTTCAGTAACAGGGCAACAGCACATTTTCATTTGGGTAAGATCATTTGACCTTTTTATTTCGGCATTCTCTTATATTCGCGTTCTCTTGTGTGCCCTCAAAGAGTAATCTTGTTCTATGTGCAAGTTGATGTATTAGGAGTTCCAAAAAGGCCATATTCGTTTTCTCGGTATTGGACTGAAACTAGCTTGCAATGGAGGCTCATGCATGCAGGAGAATATCGTTAAAAAGAGATTAACTCCATTAGCATTTGAGAAGACTCTCCGCGTGCACCTCAGTTGCAAGCTAGCTCCAGTCCAATACGAATATGTTCTATTATTTAATTACTGATAGATATCAGTGCTACTGAGTTACAAACTATGAAAATATTTGTTTTCATGCTTAGGATGTTATCCTGAATCACTGAGTGATGCCAAAGCAGCCCATGAATTAGAGCCAAATTTTGTGAAGACAATTGAGAGAGGTACGATCGTTATCGAAGTGTGTTTTCGGATGAAATAATATATTATGTCGGCAAAACACCAGTCGTTGTTTCCCAACTGCCGCAGAGATTCAACGAATCACGACGACCAAGATGACGACAATGGAGTGGAATGGTGGAGAATAAAATCAGAAAAACAGAAATTGTGCCTGAAGTGGGGACCCAACCCTAATTTCCGCACAACCACGCAAAAAAAAAAAAAAAAAGATTGTTTCGTCGATCGAGTTCCGTTTAAGAAAACATGAATTAAGCCCGTGTACCAAACCTCTATTACCACTCAGTATCATTAGAGCCCGGTATCACACCCGAAAGTCCCAAGCATCTCTCTCGCTTATTGAGTAGAAGTTCAGTATAGATAAGCATTCAATTCTTGACTACATCGAATACATTGTTTCAGGATTCATTTATTTATTTTTTGATTTCTTGAAAAGGAGCGAGTGCCTGTTTTAAGCTGAGTATGTTTGAAGAAGCCATCACTTGGTGTAACAAGGGATTGGCAGTATCCTTTATTTCATATTATTCACACATATTTCTCTTCGATTGTGGCGAAGCAGAATTGCCGGAAAAAAAATGACGCCGTCAAATATTATACTTTATCAGTATCTCACAGTTGAAGGATGGAAAAGGAAAAATGCAGCTATGACACATTCTCTCTCTCTTTTCCACTTCTGTATTTCTTCTATCATTTTAATTTACATACCAGGAATCACTAAGATTAATTGACAATACATTGTAGAAAACGAGAACAGCGACGACAAAGACAGCAATGAGGACGACAATAACAAACAAAAGGAGCAAAAAATAAAGTTTCATTTTCCTAAACTCTTGGAAGATTGACCAGAACAACCAGAGGTTAGTGGACTTGAAGAACGAGTCTGTCGAAGGACAAAGGAAACTTCAAGAAATACGTGTAGTCGAAGGGAACTTGAAGGATGAGTCGGATACCCAAACCGCGACACGAAAGGTAAGCTTGATTTAATTTTTTTTTACTTGAGGAAGGCCAGTTTGAAAATCTAAACCAAAAATGGCTGGCTAGGTATGGAAGTATACACATGACGTCTTGGCAGCCATATTGGTGTTCCAGGACAATGAAACGGCGGCCATACCAAACCAATCCCGTGGGAGTTCAACTCTTTTATTATGTAGACACTTTCTTTTTTTACAAGAAATTTGCATGGCTGCTGGACACGTGAGTGAATACTGTCAGGAATCAGATCGTTTCTTTGTCCCACGCTCGTGAAATGCTGAAAATTTCGTTTTGATCACAACATTGAATTCGTTTAGCATACAGTTGACGCTTTATATCCCCTGTTTGTTCCCACGAACGATTCCAGAAAATGAGGAGGAAGTTATCTAGGAGAAAACAAACAACTTTGTTGTTTCTTCCTCTTCGTTAATCACCAACATTTGACACACCGGTTACCTTGAAGACAACTATGGACTTCAAAACGTTTATTGCTAAAACGTTTTTTTTTTAAATTGATACACAGAAAATCATCAGTTACAAACTATTATTAAAAGATACGAAAATAAGCTACACAAATCAAGTGGTCTACATGATTGCGCGCGTGTAACCTCAAAGAGAAAATGTGGGCTTCGACTTTCTTTTTGAAAACCCCCAAAGAATTACTAAGATCCTGAGGCAGAGAATTTCATAAGGCGACACCGCTAGAGGAGAGACTGCACCAATATAAGCTGTATTTCCTTATCTTTAGTCGTACTATGACGTCAGTCTGTTGAAGCTTGCATTGACTCTTGCATTCAATCTATAGAAATGCGTTCGAGCAAAAGGAGCGGGATACCTTTTAGGGGTTAAAATCTATGGTTTGGTAAGGTGAAATGTATTATCACAAAATCTGAATTTATCAATTTTAATGGACATTTTAGCGATGCCACACAATATCAAAATGTTTTCGTGTTTTTCATATAAACTAAACAACACCTCCTTGCCGAATATATGGCAACTGTAACAAGGATAACACGTCTTTGCAAACATTGCCAAGTTTCATAGCTCTTATGGGTAGTCAGGGTAGGTACTTATATAGAGTCACCGCTTGTTCGCTACAGTGTCAGCGCAGTTGTAACTTTGAGTTACGTTTAGTGTACCGAAATATGACGGCGTACTCAAGAATAGCAATTGTGGATTCTTTTGACTTAGCTGTAGCCTTGAAATAGACGTATAAAAGTATGAATGCTGCTTTCATTTACCAGATCAGTGCCTCATTTCAACAAGCAACAGAAATTTCCAACGAAAGCAAAGATCTGGGGAGTGAAGCCTACGGTGATCTTGGAGATTTCTTTTACAATCTTGGTGACTTCAACAAAGCCATAAACTACTACAACCTATGTGTTGCTTTTGCCAAAGATGTAGGAAACAAGGCTTTAGAAGGGGCTTTGTACTGCAATCTTGGCAATGCTTATAAAGGTCTTGGTGATTTCAAAAGAGCCATAGACTACCACAACCTCTCTCTTAGCATTGCAAAAGAAGTGGGATATAAAGCCGGAGAAGCAGCTGCATATGGCAATCTTGGAAATGCTTTTAACAGTCTTGGCGATTTCAGAAAGGCTATAGATTATCATAGCCGAGATCTCACTATTGTCAAGGAAATGGGTGACAGGGCAGGGGAGAGAGATGCACATGGAAATCTTGGCATTGCTTATTCCAATCTCGGGGATTTCAAGAAAGCCATAGACCACTACAGCGAACGTCTTGGTATCGCCAAAGATCTGGGAGACACATCAGGGGAGAGTGACGCTTGCGCTAATCTCGGGATTGCTTTATACCGTCTCGGAAATTCCAAAGCCGCCATAGAATACTTCAACCGTCATCTTCGTATTGCCAAAGACGTTGGAGACAAAACTGGGGAGGGGGCTGCATATTGTAATCTTGGCAGTGCCTTTTACAGTCTAAGGGATTTCAGAACAGCCATACACTACCATAACCTGCATCTCACTATCGCTAAAGATCTCAAAGACAAGGCTCAGGAAGGACGCGCGTACCGTAATATTGGCCATGATTTTTACGATCTTGGTGATTTCAAACAAGCCAAGGATTACCACAACCGGCACCTTATTATTGCCAAAGAAGTGGGAGATAAAGCTGGGGAAAATAATGCTTATAGCGATCTTGGCAATGCCTCTTGCAGTGTAGGCGATTTTAAAGAAGCCATAGACTACCACAATCTTGCACTGAACATTTCCATAGAACTGGAAGACAAGGCTGGGGAAGGAGCAGCGTATGGCAATCTTGGCAATGCATTTGACGGTCTTGGTGATTTAGAAAAGGCCGTTGAGTACCACAGCCTCCATCTTGGCATTTCTAAAGAACTAAGAGACAAAAAGGGCGAAGGAACCGCGTATGGCAATCTTGGCAATGCTTTTCTAAGACTCGGTGATGTAACAAAGGCCCTAGATAACCACAATCTACAACTTATGGCTGCCAAAGACTTAGGAGACAAATCCGAAGAACAAACCGCGTATAGTAATCTTGGCAATTCTCATCAGTGTCTCGGTAATTTCCAGAAAGCCATAGGTTATCATAATCGTGCTTTAGATATGGCCAAAGAAGCCGGAGACCGAGCTGGTGAAAAAAGGGCATATATCGGTCTTAGCAATGCTCTCCAGCGTCTTGGTGATTTCAAAAAAGCCATTGAATACCTCAACCTTTCTCTAAGTATCAGCAAAGACTTAGGAGACAAGCCTGGAGAGGGAGCTGCCTATTGCAATCTTGGTAATGCTTTTAGCAGTATCGGTGACTTTAAAACGGCCGTAGACTATCTCAAGCGTCAAATTAGCCTTGCCAACGATATTGGGGACAAAGTCGGACAAGGGGCTGCAAATGGAAATCTTGGAATTGCTTTGACCAATCTCGGTGACTACGAAGAAGCCACAGACTACTTAAACCGTCAATTTACGATTGCCAAAGATGCGGGACATAAGGGCCAGGAAGGCACTGCATGTGGCAGCCTTGGCAATGTTTATTTCAAACTTGGTGATTTCAAGCAAGCGATGTACTACCATAATCTTCAAAGTGATATTGCCATAGAAGTGGGCGATAAGGCTATGCTAGCTGTCGCACAAAGCTCCCTTGGCAATGATTTTCAAAGCCTTGGTGATTTCAAAAGCGCCATGGAACACCATAACATTGGCCTTAGTATTGCAAAAGAAGTAAATGACGAGTTATTGGAAGGCCAACTCAATCATGCACTAGGCTACAGCTTTGAATTACTCTGCAATTTCCCTGAGGCTGTAAAGCATTACCAGGCAAGTGTACGATTGTTAAACAATGTGAGAAGTCTTCTCCAGTCTCGAGATAGATGGAAAATTAGTTTTCGACAAGAATGCAACATCAGTTACACGAGTTTATGGCGAGTTCTCTTGAAACAAGACAGGATGGCTGAAGCCTTGTTTGCTGCCGAGAGAGGGCGAGCCCAATCTCTTTCTGATCTTTTGAGATTCCAGTATCGTATGGCAATAAGTCCATCGAAGGCGTATGAAAATGAAGAGCACGATGGGGATATGCTCAATTACATTCCATCAAGCACAATTTTTGCAGCTGTTGGTGATGGTACGATAAATTTATGGGTCCTGTTTGAAGAAAGGAAAGTTCATTTTAGGCAAAAGGAACTTGACGATCCCTTTGCATTGGATGATACAAATGCCTCTTTGATCTCGTTAATTAAAACTGCTCACCGAAACATCCGTGTTGGTCAAGTTGGTGAGGTAATCCCAGACTCTTCCTCGGGAGAGGATAGTTCTTTGAGCACTTTGTACACAATCCTCATCAAACCAATTGAAGACCTGGTTCAAGGTGACGAGCTGATCATTGTCCCGGATGGTCCACTTTGGTTAGCTCCTTATGCTGCATTCCTGGGCAATGATTCCAGGTATCTTTGCGAATCCTTTCGAATCCGACTGATTCCTTCGCTGACCAGTATGAAAATGATCATGGACTGCTCAAGCGAATACCACAGTAACAGAGGTGCATTACTTGTGGGAGATCCGTGGGTAGAGGAAGTTACTAACAGGAAAGGAAAGAAACTGTTAAAACAACTCCAATTTGCGAAACAAGAAGTTGAAATGATTGGGCAGATTCTCAACGTAAAGCCTCTCACAGGGAAAGACGCAACAAAGAGTGAGGTCTTAAAAGGACTAAACTCAGTTGCTTTGGTTCACTTTGCAGCTCATGGGCGCATGGAAACTGGTGAAATAGCCCTAACTCCCGACCCGAAGCGAGCATCCCGAATCCCCACAGAGGAAGATTATATTTTGACAATAGCAGATGTGCTGAGTGTTCAAATGCGAGCAAGACTGGTTGTGCTTAGTTGTTGTCACAGTGGTCAAGGAGAGATCAAAGCTGAAGGCGTGGTCGGTATTGCACGTGCCTTTATGGGTGCTGGCGCTCGTTCCGTTCTGGTCTCACTCTGGGCGATCGATGATGAGGCCACGCTAGAGTTTATGAGAAGTTTCTATCATCGCCTTGTGGAAGGGAGAAGTGCAAGCGAGTCCCTAAAACTGGCCATGAAATGTCTCAGAGAGTCTGAAAAGTACAGTGATGTAAAATACTGGGCGCCTTTTGTACTTGTTGGTGATGACGTCACTCTGGAATTTGATGAAAAGGAATGAAACATTTATTTGATTGTGAGTATTGTGAGCTGAATCCATGCTTCTTCCCACTAATTTAAGGGCGAGATTTTAGGATTAAGTAAATTTAAGACTGCCAAGCCTAGGGTAAGTCATGACGTCAAAAATTGGATTGACTGGAATCGATAAGTAATCTTGTGTCTTTTTTTTTATCGATAGTCATAGCGTTTGTAGATCCCATTTATCACTGCAGACGATGTTCAAGAGTGACTCAGTCTTTTATCCTATTCAGGCCACAGGTTGTTTTAGTTACGGACCAAGGGGTAGGGGGAGGGGTTGTCCCCATCAATTCAGGAGTGATAAAATAATTTAGAAATGCTTAAATTACGGCAAAAAATAATTAAACATTTGGACAACCCAAACAACTGGTCAATATATAGTCAAGTAATTTTCTCAGTGAACGTCTGATAGTAAGTCACTTCCTAGAGTAACACTTCTTAAGATGAACAAATGCTAAGGGGTGCTTTATTAAAAGCATATTGTTAAAAATTTGTATTGCCTCAAACTAAACTACTTTGACGGTGGCCACCATTGCTGTCTTCATCCAGGAACATTGCACTTGTTTACAATCTTTGTGGATTGATTTTACTATAACTTGAATGACTCCTGTTGTTAGTCTTGAAGAAAAGAATTCATAAGCCAGTTTTACAAGTTTTGAAACACAAGGCGAAGTAAAGCACTCTGATAAATTTGATTGGGGTTTTACAGACGATTTATTGGCATTTAGCTCAGGGTTACATAACACGAAAATATGAGGCCTCAATATGCTAATCTAATGCAGGCATCCTCCCAACATTTTCTGTCAGGTTACGCTGGCAATTTACCGATAACCATTGATGAGTGCGGGTGGAAACAGACACTGTGAAATTAAAGTGGTAACTTGATCCCAATGCTCCAAATGGTCGAACCCAAACCACTCGATACGGAGTTGAATTCAGCGCGTTACCATCACGCTACCAGTTATTCCACAAGTCTTTTGTATAGTATCAATTTTCAAAGCTTTTAGATTTTGTCTATTTTATATTTATCTCAGCAGTTAATTAATAAAAAAATATATATAAGCAAATAATCCAAAAATTACCAAAGGTTCCTTTCTAAATTAACCTATTGGTTGTTTTTTTTCTTGTTTTTGTTTTCCAGAGGCCTGTATTTACGAGTCTTGTTCGCATCAATTTATGAATACGTGACATGAAAGTAATACCTCGTCAATGAGCTTCACAGTTGTCATCAGAGCTGTTGAATCTGGACTGGACTGTTTGTTCGACTAACCAATAACTTCACTCTTTCACAGCTTCAGGGCACTCAGTGTATATACCGTAAACTTGCGAAAGTAATGACCCCCCGAAAGTAGCGAACCCCGAAAGCAACGTCAAAACGTTGTGGCCGCTAATAAATTCTGAAAGTAGTGGCCTTCCACCCACCCCCCTTTCATGGCGACATTTAGTTACGAGTTCAGATTTTTTGCTTAGTGAGGAAACAGCGAGCGGTCAAGATGCACAGATTTCACATAAACACAGATTGTAAGAGGAAGGATTGATTATCGCTTAGTGCGTGAAAGTCAAGTTACATTTACTCCCTGTCTTTATATTGTTATTTTACTCTGCATGTTATTCGTAGAGCACTCTCAGGATAAGTGAAACAAGTTATTCATTAATTGTTTATCCGTTTATAAGAAATAGTATACACTGTATTATAGCTCTTGTTAACATCTTATCATTGTTTTTGTTTTTTTTGCTAGCCAGTCAAAGCGCATTAAAATTGCTATCAGAATGCACGTGGTTCGTACGGGAAAAATCTGGCCCTGGCTATTT